TTGCTGAATAAAGAGACCTTGGAGTGCAGGTTCATAGTCCCTTGAAAGTGGAGTTGCAGGCGGACAGGGTACTGAAGAAGGCATTTGGTATGCTTGCACTTATTGGTCAGTGCATTGAGTATAGGAGTTGCGAGATCATGTTGCAGCTGTACAGGTTAGGCCATTTTAGGAATAATGCATTCAATTCTGGTCTCCTTGCTATAGGAAGGATGTTGTGAAACTTAAAAAGGTTCAGAAAAGATTTACAAGGATGTTGCCAGGGCTGGAGGGTTTGAGCTCCAGGGAGAGGCTGAATAGGCTGGGACTATTTTCCCTGGAGTGTCAGAGAGTGAGGGGTGATCTTAAAGAGGCTTATAAAATCACAAGGGGCATGGATCAGGTGATTAGTCAAGATCTTTGGAGAGGGTGAAGAAAAGATTTACCAGGATGTTGCCTGGTATGGAGAGCATTAGCTATGAGGAGAGGTTGGAGAAACTTGGGTTGTTCTCACTGGAACGACAGAGGTTCAGGGGGTACCTGATAGAGGTCTACAAGATTACGAAGGGCATGGACAGAGTGGACAGTCAGAAGCTTTTTCCCAGGGTGGAAGAGTCAGTTACCGGGGTCATGGGTTTAAGGTGCGAAGGGCAATGTTTAAAGGTGATGCACGAGGCAAGTCATTTTACACAGAGTGGTAGGGAGCCTGGAACTCGCTGCTGGGGGTGGTAGTGGAAGCAGATACTATAGTGACTTTTAAAGGGTGCCTTGAAGGATACGGTCCCTGGAAGGGTAGGGGGTTTTAGTTGTGACGGGCAGCATGTCTGTGCAGGCTCGGAGGGCCAACGGGCCTGTTCCTGTGCTGTAATTTTCTTTGTTCTTGTTCTTGGGGTGGAGCAGTCAAAAACCAGACAGCATAGGTTTAGGGTGAGAGGGAAAGATTTACAAGGGACCTAGGGGGCAACGTTTTCACGCAGAGGGTGGTGCGTGTATGAAATGAGCTGCCAGAAGTAGTAGAGGAGGCTGGTACAATTACAACATTTAAAAGGCATCTGGATGGGTATATGAATAGGAAAGGCTTAGCGGGATATAGGCCAAATGCTGGTAAATGAGACTAGATTAACTTCGGATATCTGGTTGGCACAGACGAGTTGGACCAAAGGGTCGGTTTCCGTGCTGTACAGCTCTGTGACTCAATGACTCTAAGTGGCAATAGAACCAGAGAACTAATTAAGGAGCTCATCATCCACTACATTCTTTTCCTTTGTGAATATTGATACAAAGTATTTGTTAAGGACCTCACTCACTTCCTCCCACTCCACGTATTAATTTCCTCCTTTGTCTTTGATTGATCTAGCTAACCTCTAATGCATGTCTAAAAATGCTTTGGGATTTTCCTGAATTTTGTTTACCAAGGACATTTCACGGTCCATTTTAGCCCCGCCTAAATCCTTGTTTAAGGTCTTTCCTGCTTTCCTCTTATTCTTCAAGAGCTCTGTCTACCTTCAGTTCCTAAACTTTACCTATGCCTCCTTTTTCTTTTTGATTAAACTCACAATTTCTCATCTTCCAAAGTCAGAACCACAAAGAGGCTGCACATGCTCGATGTGGATTTATCCGCAAATAGTTGCTCTCAATCTACATTCCTCAGTTTCTGCTTAACATTGGTGCAGTTAATCTTCCCCGGTTTAGTACTTTCACTCGAGGAATACTTTTATCCTTATCCATAAGTAACTGAAAACTTACAGAATCACAATCACTGTTCTTTTGAAATGTTCCCCACTGAAACTTCCATTCCCCAATACCAGGTGTAGTATTCTTTGCCAGTCCAACAGTGTACATATTGCTTCAGGAAACCTGCCTGGATACAATCAAATTCCCCCCATCCACCAAGCCCTTATACTAATGGAGTCCCAGTCAATATAAGGAAAGTTAAAATTACCAACCTCAACAATTCTGTTTTTACATTTTTCAATATCTCTGCTCCTCCATCTTCCGCTGGCTGCTGGAAGGCCTTTCGTACACCCCCAAAGTGAATGCACCCTTCCTATTGCTGAACTCTACCCATTTATCCTCAATGGATGAGTCCTCCAAGATGTTCTCCCTCAGTACAGTTGTGATATTCTCCCTAAACGATAACACAACTCCCCACCTCTATTACATCCCTCTCTCAAGCTCCTGGAACATCTAAATCCCGGAATGTTAAACTGCCACTTTGTCCCCCTTCTCAATCAAGTATCTGTAATAGCTACAACATCATGGCTATATGTATTAATCAAAGTTCTAAGGTCATCTGACTTACATATTATACTCATGCCAAAACAAATACATTTCAGACTGTCAGTCCCGCCATATTCCGAAATCTCTCCTCTTCGCCTTACTGGTCTTAGTCTTTAACTCCTTGGTCATTTGACTTGCTGCCTTACTGCTCTGGTTCCCACCCTCCTGCCACACTGGTTTAAATTCTCCCAAGTGACACTCGCAAACTTCCCTGCCAGGGTATGTGTCCCTCCAGTTTAGGACTTTCTTAAAAGTAAACATAGAAAATTTAAGGCACCTACTGTACTTAAACTTCTGGACTTGCTGAATTTCTTCAGCACTTTCTACTTCTAATGGCTACAGGCCTATCTTGTCCAACCTTTATTACTAAAATAACCCCTCCATCTCAGGAACCAGTTGAGTGAACCTTCTCTGAACTGTCTCTAAGCTATTATATCCTTTCTTAAATAAGGAGACTAAATCTGCACACTGTACTCTAGATGTGGCCTCACCAATGCCCTGCATAATGGCAGCAAAACATCCTTACTTGTACATTCCATTCCCACTGCAATTAACAATAACATGCCATTTGCATTCCTTGTCACTTGTATGCTAGCTTTTTGTTATTCATGTATCAGAACACTCAGATTCCTCTGCATCTCATAGTTCCGCAATCTTTCTCTATTTAAGTAATATGATTTTCTGTTCTTCTATTCTTCCAGGTGAAGTTGACAAACTTACACTTTCCTACATTATAGTCCATCTGTTACATTTGTGCCCACTCACTTAACCACTTGTATTCCTTTGTAGACTCCTTATGACATTGTTGTAACTTACTTTACAAATTTTGCGATCACCAGAGCGAACAAAATCTCTTTACAATAGTGATTTGATAAAGATTCACACATCTGAATCTGTTAACTAACTTTAGTTGATTACTAAATTTATCTAAGCTCCTTTTGTTAGCTGTAGGACATATTACAGAAATCCAACCCAGACTCAGTTACACAACGCAATACCTGTGTGATATTAGCAGGCTGCTTAATCTAGTCTATATGAAAGATAAAATTCCCGTTAAGATCACTCTGCCATTGCCATTGCTACATCCTTGAGGGAGGGAGGAAAGATGCAGGACTGGAGGGGGCCAGGGATATGTTATGGAGAGATTTAAATAAAAGGATCAGAATTTTTAATTTGATGTATTGTTAGATTAAAACCTTATGCAAGTCTGTGAGCACTGATGATGGGTGAATAAGGTTTGGTGCAGGTAATATACAGGAAGCAGAATTTTGGAGAAAAAAACACAATAGAATGCAGAAAGTGGGAACCTGAACACAAGTGCATTGCAGTAGATGAATCTAGAAGTGATAAAGGAAAGGCTGAAGGTTTCACAAGCAGATGGGCACAGGCAGAAACAGAAATGGACAATGTTACAGAGGGAGAAGTAGGTGATCTTTATAATTGAGCAATTACAGAATTGGAAACTCAACTCAAGCCAAATAGTCATTAAATTTCAAACCAGGTTGAGATCGTAGTCAAGGAGAGGGATGAAGTTGGTGACCTGGGCACAAAACTTTTGTGAGGACTGATTATAATAATTTATTCTGCCCAATATTTGGCTGAAGCAAAATACAGTATATCTACTAGGTAGCAGACAAGCACAATTGGAAGCTGGAGTGTGAACAGATGTGATGAACCAATTCCCTGCTGTGTTATAACATAGCACCAGAAGCAAGTATGAATGAGTGGGTTACACTGAGCTGAAAAAGACTGATCTCATGAGATTAAATTAATTAAATTTAAATAATTGCTTAGCATCGAACTTAAACATTGCTAAAATAAGACAAAATTGAGTTTTTAGTCATGCAATCATCTGGACTGATCCAAGAAACCAAACTGGAAAGGGAATATCATACATCTCAACGATTGGTGGATTGTATCAAATCATGTTCCCTGGACTGTTCTCAGCAGGCCAGTTATGCTCAACCATTCTGGGGCCTGCAAATCTGATTATACAATGTTCAACATTAGATGCGATTCCGCTATTGGACTGTATGTGCTGAATAATCCCCAATGTGCCAAGAATTACACTGGAAAAAAATTTAAAAGATTACTAGTTGGGCTGTCAGTGATATGTATTTGCACACGCTGGCAGTTGCATATATTAACACATAGCACCCTGTTCTATTTAGGCAAAAGGAATTCATGTGCACAGTGCACTTCTTCATCCAGAAAAGAGTTATGGAGATTGCATTCCTAATGGCAACATTCCAACCAATGACAAACTGCCTGCTTGGTCAGGTTTTTCATCTAAGATTGACATTTAATTGTTCCAACTGCATCTTCATAAAAACTATGATCTAACCAATCAGCACACTCTTCTCATGCTGTATAAATCAGCCATGATGTGGAGGTGCCAGTGTTGGACTGAGGTGGACAAAATCAGAAGTCACATGACACCAGATTATAGTCTAACAAGTTTATTTGGAATCACAAGCTCGTGTGATTCCAAATAAACATGATGGACTATAACTTGGTGTCGTGTGACTTCTGACTTTGTATGAATCAGCAGTTCGGTTCTTTATGTGCCAGTCCTGACAAATGCAAGATGGAAAGCTTCAATTTAGTATCTATTTCAGCAATGTTTAATCAAGTTCTGATTAGTTTAAATCCTGCTTAATCTATGTCTAATTCTCCTGTTAACAGGTTATATTTTAAAAGCACGTTACACTTCAAGTGTATATCTTATTCCTTGCAGACTGTACCTGTGTGATTGGAGAGAGTGGGGAGAGAGCTGGTGATAGTTGAAGCTGTTGTCTCCGTGAGTCTGTGCTGACTGGTAAAGTGAGGGGTGTCACAGTTGGTTGTCGGTTCTGGAGAGACCCTGTCAATGACCGCTGTGATGATGTCAGGCCTGCAAACAATGCAAGATGTCACCAAGATTGGAAAATTGATGCAGTGATCAGACTCATTTTGTGGGGATCTGTTCTTGTATCCAGATCCTGCACAGATTGAAGTAAGTTGACCAATTGGCCCTCTTCGACAGGGTGAAAATTGCTGGCCCTAACTCAGCAGTTTCTCAGGAAGGGGATATAAACCAGGTCCCAGAAATCTTTCCACTTGTAAAATTTGCAAATAATTTTGGCCTAATACTAAAAGGGTCATTAGGACTACCCCAACACAGGAATCTGCCTTTCATACACTTGTATCTCTCCCAACTTTTGTCTGCCTGCTCTGCTAGAAAGTGAACTGCAGATATTATTCTCCCAAGACTAACCCCTGTTGAACCTTGGTTCGACATACCAATGTTCTCTAATATCCAGTCTCTGCATCCTACACCCCTTCATACACATGCTGGCTATTGGTGCAAATGTACCCTCACATACCCTGGCTGTTGCTATTGAGGCCTAGATGGTTCAGATTTGCTGCCAGGTTTCCAGTGCTGTTTGCACCGCTCAGGGTTGGGAACGTTGACTCCTCTGGATCTAGTGGAGTAGGAAGAGGCGGCGGGAAGTGAATGGTTGTGAGATCTGGCAGGGATCCTCCGGTGTTATGAGCAACAGGCATCAGTGTTGTGGTATTTTCCTGGTCTGCAGATGGGAAAATACTGTTAAAAAAGAAGAAAAAAAATGAAGTTTTCAACTTGCAAACCAGAGATACAGCCACCTGAGAACATTAATCTTAAACAGATGCTTGTGTAGGAAGAGATTAGCAGTTTTGAAATCATCAGATTACAAATGTTAAAGACCCTGTTCCACACCATCTAAACACTAATTTACATAAGTCTCTCACACATGCACAGTCAAAGTCCAGAAAGTCTACTCACTTGATTCCCGGGACTTCACATGATTTCGGCCGTGATGATACAGACTGTGAAGAAAAACAAATAAAATGAGAAGCATCTTGAAAATGACATGGACAAAACAATGAAACCCATTAGCCGCTATTCCTCTACTGTTTAAACTGTATTTGGAGAGTCTCCATTGTTTTTCCTCCAATATCTCATAAAGATTATGTCAACACTTGATTACTAAATTATGCCTAGTCTAGGAATTATTCTCAGTGTAGAGTGTTGGGCAGAGTATTAGTTTTCCTCTTTAACAAATAATTCCAAAAAATTATTTTTGTATTTCAACCCATTTATTTTGTTCCATCATGATGTCTATTTCTCTCCTGTGAAGCTATTAGGTCTGATGTAATTAAATTACATTGAGGAATTAGTGTCTTTATTCTTTCTGCCCCTATCCACATTCTTCTTGTCTTTTTTTTTCTTCATTCATTCACAGGATGAGGGCATCTCTGGCTAGGCAGTATTTAATGCCCATCCCTAATTGCCCAGAGGGCAGTTCAGAGTCAACCACATTGATGTGGTTCTGGAGTCACATGTAGGCCAGACCAGGTAAGGATGGCAGTTTCCTTCCCTAAAGGACATTAGTGAACCACATGGGTTTTTCCGACAATTGACAATGGATTCATGGTCATCATTAGATTCTTAATTTCAGATATTTATTGAATTCAAATTCCATCATCTGCCATGGAGGGATTTGAACCCAGGTCAGAATATTATCTGGGTATCTGGATTAACAGTCCAGCGATAACACCGCTAGGCCATCGCCTCCCTCTGGTGGTCTTCAACTCTTTAAACTGTGATCAAACTCTATGGTCCTTGTTGCCTCAATGCTTAGAGGTAGCAGCCAATATCAAACAGAGAACCAAAGAAAGAAACAGGTTCTAGCGCTAATCAGTTGATCTGAGGGAGGGCCAGCAATTTTTGGATTTCAATCAATTCTGGAAGAGGGAAAATTATCACATTATGTAAAATAATAATAAAAGCTTTTTCAAGTACATAAAGAGGAAGACAGTAGCTAAAGTGAGCATTGGCCCCTTACAGATTGAGACTAGAGAATGAACAATGGGAAATGATGTAATGGCAAAGGCTTTGAAGAAGCATTTAGCATCCCTCTTCACAGGGAAAGATATAAACAGCACCCCAAGAATAGTAGAGTATCAAGTTGCAAAAGGAAGGGAGAAACTTAAAAATAACTACTAAAGAAAACGAAGTGGAAAAACTAATGGAACTTAAAGCCAACAAGTCCCTGGACCTGATGGTCTGCCTTCTATGGTGTTAAAAGTAATGGCTTGCAGAGATAGCAAACGCATTGGTTGTAACCTACCAGAAATCTCGGTGGATTTGAAAAATGTAAATGTAACACTATTCAAGAAAGGAGGAAGACAAAAAGCAGGAAATTATACCCCAAATTAATCTCACATCTCTGACTGGGAAAAATCAGAGGGGTAGAATCAGGAAGGTTTACAAAATCATAACACTATCACATAGGGTCAACATAGTTTTTGGGTAAAGGAAATCTATCAAAGCTCCTGCAGGATGTTATAAGCATGTACCACTAAGTGTAGTATATTTGGCTTTCCAGAAGGTATTCCATAAGATGCCACACTAAAAGTTGACAAAACAAATTAAGAGCTTACAGTGTTGGGGATAATATATTCAAACTGTTATGAACTTTTTAATTAACAGGAAAGAGTCATTTCAGGATGGCAAATGTAACTGATGGACCAGTATGAGGGTCCTTAAATATTTGCAATCAACATTAATGCCTTGGAGTCAAATTTGTTGATGATACAAAGACAGATAGGAAAGAAAATCGCAAGGAGGGTAGAAAGAGTCTGTAAGGTGATATAGACACACTACACAAGTGGGCAAAAACACTGACATGAGCAAATTCCATCTTTTTGATCATAAAGTGACTATGTCCCCTGGTTCTAGATTCACCAGCCCGTCAAGGCCTGAGAATTTTGTACATTTCAATGAGATCAGCTTTCATTCTTCGAAACTCTAGAGACTACAGTTCCTGTTTTCTCAATCTCTGCTCATTACACAATCATAACATTCCTCAGGTTAGAGATAGTAGGAATTGCCAATGCTGGAGAATCTGAGATAACAAGGTGTAGAGCTGGATGAACATAGCAGACCAAGCAGCATCAGAGGAGCAGGAAAGCTGATGTTTCCGGTCTGGACCCTTCTTCAGAAATGGGGGAGGGGAAGGGGATTCTGAAATAAATAGTGAGACGGGGAGGCGGATGGAAGATGGATAAAGGAGCAGATAGGTGGAGAGGAGACGACAGGTCAATGAGGCAGGGTTGGAGCTAGCAAAGGTGAGTATAGGTGGGAGTTAGGATGGGGGTTGGTCAGTCAAGGGAAGACGGACAGGTCAAGGAGGCGGGGATGAGGCTGGTTGGTAGGAAGTGGGGGTGGGGGTTGAGGTGGGAGGAGTGGATAGGTGGGAGAAAGGACGGACAGGTTAGGGAGGCAGGGACAAGCTGGGCTGGTTTTGGGGTGCAGTCGAGAGAGGGGAGATTTTGAAGCTTGTGAAGTCCACATTGATACCATTGGGTTGCAGGGTTCCCAAGCGAAATATGAGGTGCTGTTCCTGCAACCTTCAAGTGGCATCAGCGTGGCACTGGAGGCGGCCCAGGATGGACACGTCGTCCAAGGAGTGGGAGGGGGAGTTGAAATGATTCGCGGCTGAGAGGTTCAGTCGTTTGTCGCGAACCGAGCATCAGTGTTCCACGAAGCAGTCTCCAAGCCTCCGCTTGGTTTCCCTGACGTAGAGGAGGCCACATCGGGAACAGCGGATACAGTGTACCTTTTTAGCAGATATGCAGGTGAACATTTGTTCGATGTGGAAGGTTTTCTTGGGGCCTGAGATGGGGGTGAGGGAGGAGGTGTAGCACTTCCTGCGGTTGCAGGGAAAAGTGCCGGGGGTGGTGGGGAGGGTGGAGCGGACAAAAGAGTCACAGAGAGAGTGGTCCCTCCAGAAGGCATATAAGGATGGGGAGGGAAAAACGTCTTTGGTAGTGGGGTCAGATTGCAGATGGCAGAAGTGCCGGAGGATGATGCGTTGGATCCGGAGGTTGGTACATGAGGACGAAGGGGAATTCTGTTTTGGTTGTTATTGCGGGGAGGGGGTGTGAGGGATGAGTTGCGGGAAACGCGAGAGACGCAGTCGAGGGCGTTTTCGACCACTGAGGAGGGCAAGTAGCGGTAGAGGAGGTGTATTCTAGGTAGCTGTGGGAGTCGTAGGCTTGAAATGGATATCGGTTTCCAGGTGGTTGCCAGAGATGGAAACAGAGAGGTCCAGGAAGGAGAGAGAGGTATCAGAGATGGTCCAGGTGAACTTAAGGTTGGGGTGGAAGGTGTTAGTGAAGTGGATGAACTGTTCGAGCTCCTCGTGGGAGCATGAGGCGGCGCCAACACAGTCATCGATGTAACGGAGGAAGAGGTGGGGGATAGGGCCAGTGTAGCTTCAGAAGAGGGACTGTTCCATGTTCCTCAGGTTAGTCTTGTGAATCCCCCTTGAAATTAAGACCAAAATGCCATTTGCCGCCTTAATTTCTTGTTGGACTGGATGGTAGCTTTTAGTGACTTCTGGAGAAGACACCCAGGTTGCCTCTCAACATTTAAGAAATATTTTGCCATTCTGGTTTTTCTAACAGAGTAGTTTCACATTTCTTCACATTACATTTCACTTGCCATGCTCTAACCCATTCACTTGGCGTGTCCAAATCCTTTTGAAGCTCACTTGCAGTCTCTACACAACTTATATTCCCACCCATTTTGGTGTCATCAGCAAATTTGGAACTATTATGATTTCTCCCCCACCTTTAATCAATAACATAGATTACAGAAATCTTTCCAGAATCTGTACAGTTACAAAAGATAGCCAGCAGTATATCCAGCATATCTATAGCTACTTCCTTAAATGCTCCAAGATGAAAGTCATCTCGTACAAACTGATGAACCCTCAATTTAGCAAATTTTTCAGGTTAATAGCTCTTAACTAATGCTAATCTTTTCTTGTTCTTCAGTTACAATAAGTCCTTTGGTTGACTAGTATTTCTGGGAGTTTTTTTGTATATTCTTCTATGAAGAGGGATGCAAAGTAACTATTTAGTTTCTCCACCTTTTCCCTGTGGTCCATGACAAATTCTCCTGTATCCACTCTTGATCAGCTCACATTTATCCCTGCTAGCTTTCTCCCTTACACATGGGCAAAAAAATATTTACACTGTCTGTTTTTATTGCCCCAGTAGCTTGTATATACATTTTCTTTTCCATGATCAGTTTCTTCGTCCTCCTTTGCTGGGCTCTAAATTGCTTCCCTTAACACTATTTCTGGTATTCTTCTAAGCCATTTCTTTGATCTAACACAATTCTTCTATCGCGAACTTGATCTTTCCCTTTGCGTGTTTGCACCTTAGAGGAAAGTTTATCTGTTGCAGACCTGTCAGTATGTTTTCAAAATTTTATCAAATGACAACACAGAGAGAAGGCGGCAAGGTTTTAAAAAGCACGGCGAGCAGGAAGTGGTTTCATTCTGAACACAGCGCTGAGAGAGGAGGCAGCAAGTTCAAAACTTGTGTTGACAGCAAGTTGTGGCTTCATTGGAAACATTGGAAATAGGAATAAGAGTGGGCCATTTGAGCCTGCTCTGCCATTCAATATGATCATGGCTGATCATCCAACTCAGGACCCTGTTCCCACTTTCACCCCATATCCTTTGATCCCTTTAGCCCTAAGAACGAGGCTTAACTCCTTCTTGAAAACAAACAGCAAAGAAAAGTACAGCACAGGAACAGGCCTTCGGCCAACCAAGCCTATGCTGACACATGACGTCTTTCTAAACTAAAAACCTTTTGCAGCCTCATGGACTGTATCCCTCTATTCCCTGCCTATTCATATCCGTCACAATGCCTCTTAAAATGTTGCTATTGCATCCATCACCACCACCTCCTCTGGTAGCACGTTCCGGGCACTTACCACCCTCTGCAAAGAAAAAATGCTGCTTCTC